GAAGCTTCTGGCAGTGATTTAATAAATTGTTGAAAATTGAATTTACATTGAATTTCTGTAAAGTTTTCAAGAATTCAACTGTTTTTATGCACCTAACAAAGCTGCACTGTGAAGTCATTACCTTAACTTAACATGTGCTTCTGTGTGGATATATTCAAAACCTTATCAATGCTGGCAGACACAGAACTGAACATTTTTCAGGTGATAACAAAACATCAGGCGATGGAGAACCTAATATCCATCACATTCAGCTCGGCTGCAGCTTTTATGAGAACTTCTTGACAAACGACAGGTATTCGTTGACGTCATCCGGCGAGCCGACCACGAAGGGAACCCGCTGGTGGAGCGTTTCGGGCTGAACATCCAGAATCCTCTGGGTGCCGGTGGTGGCGAGGCCGCCCGCCTGCTCCATGAGGAAGGCGATGGGGTTGCATTCATACAGCAGCCGCAGCTACAAGAGAACAGATTTTATTTTTTAAAAAGGTAAATACATCAACTCTGAACAAAACACTAACAGGCAGCTCCTGAAAATGTTGTTTCATCGACATGTAAACAAAGTTATTAAAGCAGCTTAAAGAATAAAAAACCGATACACCATGCTGGTTTATTCATGTTTGTGCAAAGATATGCAAATCTAAATAACACAACTGCATATTTGCAAAACAATAAACTCCAGTTTGACCATAAATGTCAACAACCAGAGCTGGACCCAAGATACAAGAAAACTCAGCAGGTGTTAAAAACATTAATTTAAATTGTTAAAATGAAGGTTTTAACAATTTAAACATGTTTTTTATTGACCTATGCAGAAACAGTCAAATGAAGTTTAACAAACTTCTACTTCAGTGCAAAAATACATCTAAACAATTATTTTGGTATAATTTCTCATGCAAGTATCTGAAAAATATGTAATGAGACAAAACTGACTTAGAAGTAACTTTTCAGCAACATAAATGAGTTTGTCTTAAGTCAACAACTTCTTAACATTGATGAAAAAGTTCTAGTTCCACTTGAAACAAGACATTTTTCCTGTAAGTGAAACAAGGCAGATTTCATCAATATTAAGAAATTATTGACTTAAACTCATATATGTTGCTGAAAAGTTACTTATAAGTCAGTTTTGTCTTATTTGATGTTTACTAAGATTTTTGCACGAGAAACTAAACCAAAATACTTGATGAGATGTTGTGTTTTTGCAGTGTTGTCAATAAGCTAATGTAAAAGGTTTAAATCTGTGTTCAAGTTGAGACTTTTTAGTGAATTTCCTGATTGGAGCCCTAAGCAGCGGCTCAGTTTGCTTCTGCCTTGGGCCGGCTGTGCAGACAGATACGGTATGTACAGAATAAACAGGTCACAACAGCCAAGATGCCAGGAAGGAAACGAGGTGACAGGTTGTTGATTATCTTTACAGCCACTCTGCAATAAAATCGGTAGAAGGAAAACATCTCCAGTCTGGAATTCACAGCCAGTTTACGGTGAAACATCTGATTCTGCTGACAGAAAACTACAAACTGCTTCAAACCTTCATGGTTTTAACTACTGGAAGGACAGGATTATTTACTTTAAAACTAAACTGTAGCTTTGTTTTCACTCAGTTTTCTAGCTATTTTGGGGTCGATTCTGTTCTTTTTTGTTTGTTTGTTTTGATAGCATATTGCACTGCAAAACACAAAATCTTACCAGGTATTTTTGGTCTAGTTTCTAGTTAAAATATTGTTAAAAAAAAAAAAAACAACAACAAAAAAAACTAAACGTACTTTTATCAAAAGTCATCAACCTTGTCATGTCAAACTTTGTTATCTTTTGGATTTTTCATTAATTACAGTGAAAATGAACGAAGTTCAGGGCAAAATGCAAATCTTACCAATTATTATTTGTCTAGTTGAATACTATAGATCACTTCAAATAAGACTACATTAACTTACAAGTATATTTTTTGCAAAAAAAAAAAAAAAAAAAAAAAAAAGGTGTTTTTCATAGACAAAAATTCTTTAATATTATTAAAAAAAAA